CCGGAAGTGAACGGGAGGAAGGTGAGCTGGAACCTGATCCTCAGCCGCAAGCGCCATTGGCTGAGGATAAAGCTGCTGTTGGAAGGAGCTCGCCCCAAAAGGAGGCGAATGATGGATCTCATTTTGAGGATAGTGCTTTGCGAGAAAGGGAGAGCTTCTTGCCTGTTGATATGGGGGATGCAAGTAAAGGGAGTAGCTGGGAGGAACAAGCAGAGTGTGAAGTATCTAAGGATGTTGTGGGAAAAAATAGTAACTTGCCAGCTTTTCAGGATGCGTCATTCAAAAAGGGAGGTGGAAGTGGAGACGAGAACGATATCACTGATGAAAATGGGGGTGAAAACAATGTTGTTGAGGATATAATTGGAGGCTCTTTGGAGGAGGATGCGGACAGTACATGTGGTGGCAAGTTATCCATACAAGAGCAAGAGGAAGAAAGAGGTGTTGATATCAAAATGAAAGTGAATGGGATCATTGAGGCTGGAAATGGGGAAATAACATCTGGAAGCGGGCTTCCATTTGCAGAGAAAACGACCCTGAGTTCGAAGGATAAGGGCAAAGGCGTTGCTTTATTGCCTTTCGGCAGTGTTCCCTTCACAGAATTGGCTTTGGATGCCAAAAGTAAAGCATTGGATCGTCGAACAACTGCCAACGTGGAAAGTGAAGGGCCGAGTGCCAGGGGATTTCAATTTTTCGCTGCAGATCCAGTTAACAAGACAGAGGAAGTGGAGCAAGCAACTTATAACAAGCAAAAAGATGATAAGTTACCGCTTGAACTTTCACTTAGCTTGCCAAATGTCTTATTGCCTATCGGCGCTCAGGATAGAGGACCGACTCCTGGTTCTCCAAGCCATGGAAGAAGTATTCACTCCTTTGCTAGCTCATTTCGGACAAATTCTGATGGATTTACTGCATCAATGTCGTTTTCTGGTTCCCAGCATTTCAGTCACAATCCCAGCTGTTCCCTGACTCATAATGCACTTGATTTTGAACAATCTGTCAAAAGCAAACCATTGTTTCAAGGGGTGGATTGGAAAGCTTTGGCGGAAGAGAGTAAGAGTAAAGAGGCCCCAGCTCATCAGGGAATGTCATCACGGGAAAATGGCTTCATTCAGCAGTCTCAATCGTCTCAAGGCAAGTCCAGTGGACTAGCTCCAGTGCAGAATGCAAGAGGTACAGGAAGCAGCTCCAAACTACCAATTGCGCTGGAAAGGCAATTAAGTTTGCATACACATTTATTGGGAACACGGAATTTTGGCTCCTGCGAAAATGTACTCGAGCATTGCACAGAGAGGAGACAATTGATGCTGGAGAAAAATTCTGGTAGTTTACACCGGCTCAATGGCCCAGATGAGAAAGAACAGTCAATGGTGATTGGATCCGACTTTGCCGAATCAATTGTTACTATGATAGTTTCCGAACCTCTACATGTATTAGCTAAGAGGTTTAGTGATATGACTGGGAAACAAAAGTCATGTGTCAAAGAATTTGTCCTCGACATGATTTCTGACCCCACAAAGCAATGGCAGCTGAGTGCTCTTCAGAAGGCTTTGCAGAAGAGGCCGGATGTGACCTTGGATATGCTACTTAATGCGCATAACACTCAACTGGAGATCTTGGTTGCACTGAAAACGGGTCTTCGGGAATTTCTTTTACAGACACATGACATCCCGATTTCTGATCTAGCTGAGATATTTCTGAATATGAGATGCAGAAATCTCAACTGCAAGAGTGTCCTGCCTGTAGATGAATGTGACTGCAAGATTTGCTCTCGGAGGAGTGATTTTTGCCGGGAATGCATGTGTCTTGTGTGTTCAAAGTTCGACATGGCTTCGAACACATGTAGTTGGGTCGGCTGTGATGTATGCTTGCATTGGTGCCACGCGGATTGTGGGTTGCGAGAATCTCATATTAGAAATGGTATAAGTGCAGCGGGTCTGCATGGCACAATGGAAATGCAGTTCTATTGTGTTGCCTGCGGTCATCCATCTGAGATGTTTGGTTTCGTGAAGGAAGTTTTCCAGAACTTTGTGAAGGATTGGACTGCCGAAAACCTTGCTAGGGAACTTGAATATGTGAGAAGGATATTTTTTGCGAGTGGGGACATGAGAGGGAAACAGCTGCATGATACTGCAGTGAGCATGCTGTCCAAATTGGCTAATAGATCAGATCTTCTGGACGTGCAGAATCGTATCGTGAATTTTTTCAATGGTGAGATTGGTCCCCATTTTGATTTTGTTCTATGGCATTTTCACAATACATGTGCATTTGGCTGCATTTTCTATATACACTATCATTATTGTAACTCCAAATATTGGGAATAAGCGGTTCAAGAATGTTACGTACAATTATTTCCATGTCTTTTTTGGTTGGACCAGCCCAACCCGCCATTTGCGTTTCTTCAGAGAAATTACTTGTATTTAACCTGCCAAAAGTAAATAATGCTTTCCTGGGCTTGTCTGACCTTGTTAGGATTCTGTTCTATAAATTATTGTTCTTTCTGAAGTTTAATCTTTGATTATGCGGCTGTAGAATTTTAATTAATTTCTCTTGGGTTTTCTCCAATAGTTTGGTTTATTACTGTTATCCATGAAAATCCACTTTATACTAATACAATATGGTCAGGAGAAGCATTTCACCATTTGGATTTTTATGTTCAGCTGATCAATGAAAATAACAAAAATGTGCTAAATAACATGCAATGAGCTACTTAATGAATTCGAGTTGGCAGTATCTGTTCTCTTGTATCCATATGAATGATTGGAATGAATTTGCATCTGCTGAATTAGTATATTCTACACTTGTGTCTTTTGTTATTCGGTACACTGATCTATTGTACTTGCACGACATGAAAACATATGCTCAATATATTAAAAATAGAAGTCATATTTTTCGGGATTAAAAACCTAAAATTCTGATAATCAGGAATGAGTCGTTGAATCAGATTTTTGACAAAACTTTTATGTAGTTGGAACATTATATTTGCCTGAAAAATATCTGATGATGTTTTACTTGTAATATTAATGTTTTTCGATACCATTATTTTTTGTTGGAATTCAGAATTAAAACAACATTTACAAATATAGCAATTAGACATTTCTTTGTATATTTAAATACACGAGAAATTCAAGTTCATAGGACTCGAGTTACTGATAAGATGATGATGATAAATGGAAACTTTTCTTCTGATCATGTTTTCTGATCTCGAACTACCTGTGTAGGCCGGCACATTAAAATTGACACGCTCTTGTAATCTGAATTGCTCACGCTCCGTCTCTTTCTTGTTTTATTTAATATTTTTTCTCAATTCATTTCATTTCATGTATTCTATCTCTTAATAATTTTGCTCATGTTTACCCCTTCAATTACAGAAACCAAATTCGACAGCCCTGCCAACATCACATCAATTGAATCCCATAAGGAGCTGTCGACTAGAAACCAAGAAGCCAGTAACGGCATTACCAGGCCTGACCTAGGGCCCGGGTGGTTGAAGCCCGTCTATCCAGATAAGCCTCCACATTTCGAAAGCTCCTTCAAATTAGTCCCTGAGATCGATATAAGCAGGAATGATAAATACGAAACGAACTTGGATCTTTCAAGAACTTCTCAAAAAGAACCCATATTTGACGAACTGGAAAGCATCGTGAGAATCAAACATGCAGAGGCCAAGATGTTCAGAACGCGTGCAGAGGACGCAAGAAAGGAGTCCGAGGCCCTTAAGCGCATTGTGGTTAGTAAAAGTGAAAGGATCGAGGAGGAGTACAAAAGCCGGATCACTAAGCTGCGTTTGGCAGAGGCCGAAGAAATGCAAAAACAGAAATTAGAGGAGCTTCAGGCTCATGAGCAGGCGTATCAAGAGTATGTCAACATGAAGATGAGGATGGAGACGGATATTAAGGATCTCCTGTTGAAAATGGAGGCAACAAGGAGCAACCTCTCTGCATGATTGGCCAAGGTTGTTTTTAGGTATGGGCTCGCATGCGGCGGGGATGGGAAAAAAAAAAAAAAGGTAAAACTTGTTTTCTGATATGTAGGTTTTTTACTTATTTTTCCTGTCAGAGTGCTTTTATTATATTTGTACAAAAGGTTAGCCGATGCCTGTATCTCCTTTGACATTGTATTTCTTGTTATGGACAGAATCTGGTCTGGAGAAATGGGTTCTGTTGCTTCTTAATTATTTAAATCAGAATTATTTTTATTACGCTAAAACATTATTATTATTATTATTATTATTATTATTATTATTATTATTTAAATAACTGGAAGTATGTGTCTAGTCCTCTGCTGTTCCTTTTCTGGTTTTGGACTGCATGGCGTTTTTGTTTTTTTTTTTTGGTTGCTTGAAGCTTGATAGTGTATTTCCTTATTTGATGCTCGTCCCTTTTCTCCTTTTTATCATTTTTGGTTTTAGTGTTTCAGTCTTTGGCCGTAAATACTAAACGGGCATCTAATTCTTCCAAAAAACATAAGATATGTTGGTTTTAGGGGTGAGGACTAGACTTATAAATTTTTTTGGGTTATTGCATTATATGTTGGTTTTAGAGGTGTAAACGAGCCGAACTAATGAGTTAGTAATTGAGCTCGAGCTCAATTCGTTTATATATATTAACGAGCAGAACTCGAGTTTTAACGAGTTGAATTATATAAAATTATATAAAAAAATGTTTATTTCGAGCAAACTCGAGCTCAACGAGCAGAGCTGACTGAACACGTACGGCTTGTTCTGTTTAATAGCTCTGCCTGTTCATATATCATAATTTGGCCCCTTTCTGTCAATGGACAGTTAAAAGTTTGGTTTAAAAAGAGGATTGTTGCTGAATAAATCCTTATCTAATTTTAAAAAAAAAACGTTTTTCCTACTTTTTATATAATTTTCTTCTATTTATTTACTTTTTTTTTTCAAACGATAGGGCATTCTCATAAAATAAACACAAGTTCAGTACACAATCTCCGAGTCTACC